TCAGAAGAGACGGATTTTAAAACAAAAATTTTTTTATCACAAATTTTTGTTTTATTATTTTTTTAGTATTGACCAAAATCAAGCAGTGGTGTGAACTGTTGTGAATGCAACCAGCTTGTATGTAGGCATTCATTTTGACCTTATGCTGTTGCGAGCGCCGTAAAACTCTTTGCCAAACTTTTTAAATTGCATTATTGAGTGGCAGTATGATGCATGATGACCCAACCTTACCTACACTGATACTCATGAATGTGATACATCTTGTCTGAATCATATCTCGTGTCACTCATTTCAGTTCATAGAAGAGTTTATTGTTATTATACATGAAATATTTTTTTTACTTACATTCAGTTTATGATTTTAGCATCCACTTATGAACCGGTTCGTGGAGCATTTTATGTTTTTCACGTGTTTTATATCAGAGACCACAGGGGGGAAAAATACTTGCAAGCTCATGTGTGCAAACCCCCTTGTGGGGGGGGTAATTAAAAATGTTGTCTGTGCAGTATTTTAATAATGGACTTGTGGTGATATTTGTGTCATTTTTTAAAAACTTTTTAGGCATGCTGCCCCACAAGACTACCCATGGAAAAGAAGCCCTTGGTCGTCTGAAGGTGTTTGAAGGCATCCCTCCCCCATATGATAAGAAGAAGCGTATGGTGGTCCCTTCTGCTCTCAGGGTGGTCAAAATGCACCCAACAAGGAAGGTATGATCATAGCTACTTGGATTTGTTGGGGGGGGGTCTCAATCAATAATGAGGGTATGATTGTTATATATCTCTATATTGTTACAAAAAAAGATTTTGTTTTGCATTGTGGATTAGGTTAATTGTAAGTCAATATCACTGTTTCTTATATTTTTACTGTCAACTGCGTCCCGTGATGACATGTTTTTACCTACATTGTCTGACTCGAATGAATGAAACACTTCTCTGAGGATGCATTTGGGACTTGGAAGTTGAATACGGCGTGCCCATTGAGGATGGGGTCGGATCTGGTCGCTTTTGTTTTTTAGGCGACCAGTCAGACATGATGGCTTGTGCCACAATAGCTGCTTTGCGCCCTCAATCTGGCTAGCAAAAGGCCCTAACCAGACCCGATCCCCCCAATGGCCTCCCAATATGTGTCAAGTTAAATAGTAATGCTATGGATGAGGAATACAGTTC